AGTGTAAAAAAAAGTCATTTACCTACAAAGTTTCATGTACCTATTTAGCAAAAATTATTAGCACTATAGGTCAACGTCAAGGTTGGTGTCAGTACTATGGGTTTGGTCCCAGGATTGACCAACAATCGTTCGGGAACATCTGTTGGTAGTTAGTGTGTCGACTAGGGTAGTTAGCTCAATCTTGCACCTTACCTGAAAGTGGGTCTGGAAATCATGATGTTCAGTAGTTGTTAAGTTTTGATTTCATTTTTGTTAATATAAACGTCTAATGAGCGCGATTGCCATAACCTAATAAGGGTCATAACGAATAATAATACGTAAACGAAAAGAAGAACGGGGAAATTAAAAACAAAATGAACGCAAAAAAAAGGTCAAAGAAACAAAAAAAATGAGGAATAAAAATATGCAAAAAACTAACTTTATTTAGCGTACATAATTAACAGTTGATTACCCTGAACTTTAAGTAGAATTCAACTGAAAAAACAATTTAAAATAAATAAATAAAAAATAATCGTTTTACTTAGATTATGTTGTTTTCATAATCGTTGCAAGCCAAAATCGTATTTGCGATTTAAAATACGATTAATTGAGCAGCCCTACCTACGGGTACAAATAAAGAACCTGAACCTGAGGGCTGCATGATTTGGCAAAAACAACCAATTGCAATTCTTTTTTTTCCATTTGCAACAGCAATACAAATGTGCCATATAAAGACGGAGTGATTATTGAAAACCACATTCACAACATCATTGAAATGTTTTTTTTAAATTATGATTTTTGATTTTATTTGAAGAGGATCTGTACCAAACACCAATCCGAATTGTAGTCTGGGACTTCTCTGCAGCTCCACAAAATAACACTTGGATATTTTAACATATCTTACCTTTACCAAAAATGTTACTTTGAATACTATACTCGTCCATTTTGCAATTTCAATATGATTCTGTTGGAGTGCAGCCCTTATTTACCGACCTGTATTTGTATTTAAACTGAAATCATCCCTTCTTCTTTGTGCAGGACATGAGGACGTGCATTGAGAGCTTCACCCGGCGGTCGGACCACCATTCTGGGGACAGCAGCGTTGTGTGTCTGCTCTCACACGGGGTGGAGGGGGCGATATACGGTACAGACGGACAACTCCTTCAGGTGGGTGTGGAGGGAATTCTTAAGAGAAACTGATAAATGATTCATGGACAAAGTTTGTCTTTTGTGATATATTTAATAAAGTAATAAAGAAAGTCAATATACAAGTGACATCGATCTCAAATGCAGGAACAGAGCAGCTTCATCCTCAGAGGATAAAGAAGTTCCTATATAGTCCAGAGAAAAGCCAACTGGTCCCACCCTTAAAGTCTCTTAGGCATCATCTAAACATCCCCACCATTAAACCATAACACCCCCTCGTCCTTAACCATTTGCAAATCCCCCTTTCACACTTCCTTTGCCCTCCTGCAATGTAAACCCTCAACATATGTCTCTGTTAAACTCATACAAGACTAAAAATACAATTTGACACGACAGTGAGTTCCTTTATGTATGTATGTAGTTTATGTATGCAATGTTTTGATTGCTTACTGTTGTCAGATATTTCATTGTGTCCCTTGTTGACTTTCAGCTGGACTGGGTGTTTGAGTCCTTTGACAACGCGCACTGTCCGCTACTACAGAACAAACCCAAGATGTTTTTTATTCAGGCCTGCAGAGGAGGTAAGGCTCTTATGATGATACGGTACACCCTCTATCGTCATTCATTATTGACATACAATCTAATCTATGTCACGATATATAGTTACACTTATATTGAAGGGCCAGGGTGTCACTCAGTTCCTCAAAAACACCTGCACTCAGCGTTTCCGCCAGGGGGGCGTCTTGCCGTCATTTGACGCCCTTATTCAGCTCGGGACGTCCTGGACTCGAGCCGATGGCGTCCAAAAAATATTAATAATTCGAGAGAAGATCGAGAGTTTTTATCGCTTGAAATAACGAAAAGGAAAGGAAAACTGAGGCTCCGTGGTAAACTGTGGTGGACGCCCTCTCAGCCCTGGTCTGGCGGAAACACACTATTTCAAAATCGCGTGAAATAAAGCATATTAACCCACACGTGACTCACTTACAGAGGGGTCTGTCTGACTGAACATCATTTACTACAAGTTAAGGCTTCTTGCATTCACAGAGTTTGTTTCTAGAGAGTGACATGTGCTGCACACTGAACCACCAATTGTAATCATCAGTGATGCGTTTTAACAAACGATCAAAGCCAGTCCCGCTAGTCCTCTAACGTAAAGTGCGAGCTTCGATGATCACAAAAAACACCCAAAAATGAAGATTTGGTAGCAAAAAAGATCAGTTTAATGGAAATAAAAGAAGGATTTTGACTAAAAACGGATACTTTTCCTGAACATTCCTGTATTTTCATTCAATAGTTTTTGCATTAAACATAAATTGGAATCTAAGTTCTTTCCAATATGGTGCGGCCTCACACGTTGCACTAATCTATGAACCGAAGGAGAAGTCCTTTATTCATCCCACAGTGGGGAAATGGACCTCGCTAAAGGAAAGGGACGGTGCAGATAAGAGAGTAGTGGGTATTAAATAAAAACACACATTAGATGGCGCTGTTTGGTCTTTTGCCTTCATTCAGTTTTTTCACATATGTTGTCTAAATATTGTTAATTTGTTATTATTGATGTCGTTTAGCGACGTATTGTTCTTTCTGTGTCTTTGTATGCACCACATATACCAAAGCAAATTCCTCGTATGTGTAAACCTACTTGGTAATAAAACCGAAACAGTGAAGCACATGTTAATAAAAGAAAATCAATGAAGTGAAGATATGGATAATGGCGTCTGTTAAAGCTTCTATCAGATTGGTTAGACCCCCTTCCATATAATCAGACGTTGTGCTGTTAGTGAGAGGACAGTTTCCAGGCGGTCCCTCAGCATGTCCAGATGTTGTTTCCTCTCGCCCTCCTGACCTCTGGGACAGGTGACGACTGAAACATCTGTCCATCATCCACACATCTCCAGGTGCTGAGCACAGTGTCCCAACACGTCATAGATGTAGTCTTCAATAAATCGCAGGATAATAGTCAAGTCAAAGTCAATCTCAAAATATGTTTGTCCACACAGAAAGATCAAAATACTGTTTCCCACAGTCCGAGGTATAACAAAAACTCACACATTAAAATGCAACAGGGGCCAGTGCCGCCGTAACACTGACCAGGGACCCCCTGTAGCCCCCCTCCAAAAAAAAGTTACAATATTATGATTTGTTGGAACTAAATCCAATCAGGGACGCGGATGTACAGTGGAGATTAAACTGCTCAATACCTTATAAAAGCAAATTAATTTAATGAAATTGTCACTTACATTTACTAAAACAAATACATTTACTAAAACAAATACATTTACTAAAACAAATACATTTACTAAAACAAATGCCAATTACTGTATTTTATGTTTATTTCAAACGATTACTTTATACTGTCTTTTTAACCCCCTTTCATTGTGCCCCTCTCATGAAATGACTGGCCGCAGCCCCCCCAGTAAAATTGGCCACTGATGCCAACAACACCCTTAGAATGTCTCCTACACCAAGTCTATAACAATAGCACAAATAAAAGGTTTTAGGTGAATTCAAAATGTTAAAAAGTAAGAATCTTGTGTTCCAGAGGAGATGGACTGTGGCGTGGAGCAGATTGACGGCCCGATGAGGACCTGCTCCCCCAGCTGTGAGCAGAGAGACGCTGGGAGGGAGGTGGATGCCTCCTCCAGGCAGGGGGGGGGGCTGGGGAGGATCAAACTGCCCCAGCGCTCTGACATGATCTGTGGCTACGCATCGCTTAAAGGTCAGAGCATTTGTAAGTCTGTCCCTTTTGATACTCTGGGCTGGATTCATAATAATAATAATAATAATAATAAAGCTTTATTTATATACAGGGTCTCCGCGGGGTCTTAAAAAGTATTAAAAGTTGATAAATCAATTAGCGAAAATGAAGGCTATTGAAAAGTATTAAACGGCATTTTCCAAGGTATTACATTTTGTAGCTTGATATAAATGGTCCAAAGAGGTTGTATTCTACAGTCTGCCTGAATGTAATCATTGCGTAGGTGTGTAGTGTGATTCTGTGTACTTTATTTATGGCATCCCGTTGGATTTGACGTCATCTGAACAGGACATCGCACGCTCACTGCTTGATAGCGCGCGAAGGTCCGTTTACGCCGGTTGCTAAGCAACATCGTTATGGGGAAATACAAGTTTGCATCCAAATGGTTGGAAGATAAGGAGGAAGGACAATCAATACTGTATGTAGTCAATGTGAGGTAAAGTGTGTCACCTAAGGTAACCGGTTAGAACTCCAACGTGGCGATAAGGTCTTAAGATGTATGGAAAGGGGTCTTAAAAGGTCTTAAAAGGTCTTAAAAGGTTTTACACTTGACTTCAGGATTCCTGCAGATACCCTGTATATACTGTAGTCACTTTTCATGCAACACATGCAGCTCAAAGTGCTTTACAAAATGACAAGTACACAAAGTTAAAAACAAACAACAAGAAATTCCCCTCAGATTATTTGTTAAGAACTTTTAAAGGTACTTGCAGCAACATAAAACATTTGATCAGATTGATTGACACAAGGAGGTAAAATATTTCAAAAATAATGATTTCTCTCCGACAGATAAGACTCAAGACAACTGAGTCGATGCAACAATATAATGTTGTGTCATCATCATGACTCATGTCTGTGTTAGTCATCTGAACTGCTGTTCAAAGAAACAGTGTTGTTATTTACTGAAGCAACATTTCAACCAGCAGTAACAAACCATCGTGTTGAATTTCTACCAGTGAGGAACAGGTTCTGCAACAAAACTAAATATGAGAGAATATTGGTGTTTTATGGGGAACGCCACTGGTTTTCCTTTAGTCATTAAAGTGTGTTTAAATGTCTTGTGGAGTCCTACTTGTTACAATAGCATGCTACCAAGTCATAACACATAAAGGAAATATCAATCTGGAGATTTCACAATATAAAACAACCAAACTACTACATGAAAAATATAAACATG